TTCCCTGAGCACTTTATTTCTTTGCTTGTTGAACTGTGAGTGTGCTCGCTTGCAGGCAGTTCGTTGTTTGGTTCGACTGCGAATCGACCAGCAACCGGTTTCGGGGCGCAAACAACGACGCAAGGCTCAAGCCTGTTTGGACAAAAATCACTTTTCGGCTCTTCTGGCCAAACAACATCACTTTTCGGTTAGTGAATAACTAATTTTTTTCCAGTTACATGTAATAAAGCGACCCAAACTTCCACCCAGTACACGTACAAGAAGCAGGTTTGATCAGCTACACGCTAGGCGGTTACTGCCCTTATTTGAGAGCAGAAGGCCTGGTACAGCTGCGCTTCATAGATGCCCTCAGTAGCGTCGCAGAATCACGGGGCAGTCCGGGTAGTCTTGATAATTACCCTATTTTTAGTCCCTCAGCTCGTGAGATGTCCCTTGAAACATCACTTATCACGGATAGCGGAATTATCGGTGGGGTCTCTCAAGAGATGCATATTCATAAACCGTGGCAACTTTTCCACTTAGGACTGCTCATTTTGAATTTCATTCCTAACTTGTCGGCACACACGGTATCTCTTCCAGCGCTCTGCCCGACTGGGTACTTCTCATTCAAAAAAAGCGAATATTTGCTGTAATTTTGAGAAGTCGAAATGTTTTCATTGCTTCTAAATTTGAGTAATTTTAGGAAGTACTCAGCCAGCATCCACGTCATCAACGTCACTTTTTGGCCAGTCAAAGCCGTTGTTCGGCTCATCGACCACCTCACAGTCATCCGGTTTCGGCACCAGCGGCACGTCACTGTTTGGAACCACTCAAACCACACAGCCCACTGGCGGCCTTTTTGGATCCGGCTTTGGAGGTAATTTGTAAAAACACTATTTAAAGGGCTTGATATTTATTATTCGTTTTCAGCAATAGTTAAGTGGCTTCTTTGACAAGTAGAAAAGTTTCCCAACAGTATAGTAATCTTCAGGTATAAAAATAAGGGGCTGAAACTCTGCAGGGATATTCGCTGTGGATGTTTGAGTTAAAGTTCCTTCAGGCTTGACCTTGAATTTAGTTCTTAGTAATTCTCAAATGCACAGATTAAAAATCCTGGGTCAGAGTTCCTACTCGCAGAAACTAAAAGCCTGAAAGCCAACCATCAGATCGCTTTTCGAAGTTTGTAGATGACCAAGAACATGAATTGTGATTTGCTTAACTTAGACATTTTTTTACAATTCAGTAACTGAAAATAGTGTAAGGAAATTGAAATTTTTGCGGAAGACAGCCTGTTCAAGGCTAAATATCTGGAAACAACTTTTAAGCTGCTTTATGCCTTGTTTTTGAAATTCAGGCTTCGGTGCAGGCAAATTTCCTATCTCAAAAACTAAAAATTATTGCGTGAAATTTTTAGGACAAGATTTTTAATTATTTAGGAGGCCTAAAACCAACTTTCAATTTGTCGCTATTGTAAAGCTACCATATATATTATGAAAATTTGAAATTGTTTTGACACGTGCTGCCTCTTCCTGTCCGTTTGTTTCTAAAGATTTAAATTCCATATTCTCCTGAAATGCTAGGGAGAAATTTTGCCGAAACGAATTTTCATTACATATATATTACGAAACCTTTATATATTACGTATCAAAATTTCTGGTATTTGAACGGTATTACTTCAGCATCATCGGTTACTGGAACGACAGTCAAATTTGAGCCACCATCAGGCACCGATACAATGATTCGTAACGGCACAAATCAAACAATAAGCACCAAGCATATGTGCATCAGTGCGATGAAACAGTATGAGAGCAAAAGTTTGGAGGTAAAATGCTTAATAACCGCTCAAAAAATTTTGCAATTTAAAAATTTGAGAACGTCGAATATTAGATTTTACTGTACGGATTAATTTAATTGGGAAATTGATTTTTTGATTTAATTGGAAAACTGATTTTTTGTCAACCGAAACTCGAAACCCCTTCCCCGCATTTTTTTTTTTTTTTTTGCATGAGATAAGGGGACCGGAAACAGCATAAGTGTTAACAGCTGGCGGTAGCAACAACCGGCTGGCAATATTATCAACGGCTTTCTTTTTCGAAGATTGCTGCTTGCAAAAAAATAACGGCGAATTTTGTATTTCCTGATATGCGCCAGCACTAGTTTATTGTCGAAACGACTGACCATATCATAGATGGATTGATTATCTTATTGGCGAGATGGGCCCTCAACCTTCGGCATGGGAGCACTGCAACGTGGCTGCTGATTTTCGGTGCTGGTGGCGATTTAGTACATCTTTACCTGAGTGAAATTACTGTTGCGACAAATTGTTCACGTTTATGTCTTAGTATGGACAAAAAGAAGTGTCCATGCCATGGTACCCAGTTCATGGCAGGGGTCCTACTTGATAATTGAAAAATGGTATTTGTGACAGCAGGCTTACTGTACTGATAAGTGACCCTGCTGTCCGGCTCTAGTCATTGTTTTGCACTCGTTGTTAGCTGAAACAGTTCCTCTATAATTCATCATTTCTCAAATGGGGATTCTTAATTTCGTTCAGCTTACTACTCCGTACAGCTCCTAAAGGAAGGAACCATTGATGGCTCAGCCAGCGAGTGGCTGCTATTGGCAAAATGTTATTATTCAAGCCATGCAGAACTTGTCTCTGCGTTTCAAAGGATGTTTTTTGACTAAAAAAGTAAAATTTGCTCAAAAATATTTTTTGAACAATCTAACTGTACTTGGCAATAAATCCAGGAATTGCGATGTGAGGATTACTTAGCAAATCGCAAAGGTCCTCAAAGTGGCGGAATAACATTCGGTCAAACGTCACAGCCTTCGACCTCACTGTTTGGTACCAGTGCAACGACAACACAGTCATCACTGTTCGGCCAAAATAAACCTCTTTTTGGAAGCTGTAAGTTTGCCATTTCCCTCATTTTCAAATTTTCGCTGATGATTTTATAATTCCTGGGTACTCCCTGGTCAAAACATTGTCTATTTTGGACATCATAAACGAATTATTTTCTTTTTCATTGCTGGCTAGTTTGGTGTAGCGGTAAACGACGCAACTTTCGGCCTTAAATCGGGTCCACCTGTAAGAAAAATCCGTCTGTGTGTGCGTGTTTTTTAAATTTTTATCAATACTAAACTGATACTAGCGAATATCAGTGGGTCAATTCATTTTCGGTATATTTTTTCTCATTTTTTATGCGTTTTTTGCAGTTATGCAATGCAAAAAACGCATATTGACGAGAGGTTGTCTGT